CTTATTTAAAATGTGAATTTGTTTCCTAAAATGTAAATTTGTTTGCTAAAATCTACATTTCTTTTTTAAAAATTTAAACTTTTTTTTTCAAAAATACATTTGTTTCATAAAATATAATTTTGTTTCTTCAAATGTTATTTTGTTTTTTTATTTGTTAATGTGTTTTTGAATTGTAAATGTGTTTTGCACTTCTCAGCCACCGTAGTTTCCCCAACAAACATGAGTCACACATGCACGAAGCTTCCACTGATTCCACCTTAAATAAAAATATGAATATGAATATAACATTCATCATATTTTTCGTTTAAATTGTTGCAACAAAAAAAATGGTTTCAGTGGACCTAGCTGTACATTTTTACATACTTCTTATGTGTAAAAAACGCAAAAACATACAATTTATCTATACTTTACATGCTCTTTGAGAGTTAAAAAACGGCTATCAAAACAGTAAGGACACCTGCTCTATATGACCTCATTTTATCAGGATCAAAAGGTTCTGGTAGTTTTTGTATAGGCATGTAAAGTGACTATGCAACTGTAATGTCTCATGAGTTACCGTAAGAATTACTGCACCCCCCCCAGAACCCCACCTCACAAACCCATCCCCCCACCCGCCAACCACCCACCCCAAAAACCCCACATAGTTGTAATCTTTTTTGATGGCTTTGACATTTTTCAATTCTTCTGTTCTCTTAAGGACACGGGCAGCATTTGAGGCCAAGCTGCAGAGAAGCAGTCGAACCACAGATTTCCGAGTCCCCCAGTCGATCTGCACCATGTTTAATGTCATGGTGGATGCCAAGTCTCAGTCAGCCAAACTGTGCGTTGTGGACCTAAGTCAAGAGGTAAAGGGAAACTTTCCTCTTTCTTTTTGGTACACTTTACACATAATATGTGGCTGAATCTAAAGAACTGATGCTGATGTGGCCGCAGCGTATATGAAAGCAAGGGTGTACATTTCTTTTTGCTCTGTTGTGTATGACATGCTTTCCTTTTAAGCTTTATTTGTAAATTCAAACTACATCATTTTCATCATTTTCTTTTGCCACCTTATTTTCTTTGTTTCATCCCTATCAACCTTTTGGAGTTTGTTAGACAATGGGTAAGTGTGACTAACATCCAAATTAAATTCCCAAGTCACGCGATCCTTCCTACACCCGGGCCCCCATTAATTCTCAAATGCATAATTAGTCATCAGTTTTCACTGTCTGTCATCCTTCACTTGAATTGTTTGGATTTCATTACCATATGTGTAGATGGTATTGAATATACATGGGATGAAAGTGAGAGATCTCATGTTTTGCACAATTTCCAGACTGATACTAATTACTGACAATGAATTTATTATTGCTAAATCATTCACTGTTTTGTGAGAAGAAAGAAACCATCTTACAGTATTTCTGCCACTTTCCACGAGAGGATATTCTTTTTGCGGAAATATTTTAAGTCCTTTACTGTTTTTTTATCGTGATTTATAAGTAACAACAGGTTACGTAATTCACTTTCTCCATTCATTTCATGGAATGCATTTGTTATCCTTTGATTTCTCCCTATTTGTATTTTTCCTGTCATTGGCGCGAACTCACCCACAGTTTATATATCCAATGATTGCGTATGTAAATGAAAACTTTTCTCGATTATTGTGTCCTTTTTTAAAGGGGTCATAAAATACGACACAGAGTTTCCATTGTCATAGATGAATAACGATAGTTCAGTAGATGAAATCAACTCTCACAATTTTAAACTTCCACCATAAAACAGGCGAATTCAAACGAAGCACCGAGTTGACGTAAACTCGTGGATGGTGCCTTATTTGGTTGTAGCCTGTAATTTTGGTATGCCCTGAAATTGACATACTGAACAGCCCACTGGTTCACTGCTCAAGGGGGGGGGGTTATGATGTGTCGGCCATGAGCCGCCCGTCCTCAGTCGGAGGAGGGGGGCTGGGGGTAACAGAAGTAAAAGACATCCCAAGTCTCCCAGAAGTTCCGGGAGGTATTTTTGATTTCTCCCCGGACAGTTGTTTTATACAGAGCCCCTTTAATGACATGGTCAAAAAAAAATTTTTATTGTGGCCACGAAGTAGTATTTCGTGGCCACGCAATAAGTATAACGACAAAATTCTTATTAATAATATTAATATCATACCTGGACAACTGGGTAAGCAAATCGATTTGCTTACCCAGT